AATTAAAATTATCAAGACTAATGATGGTATTTTTCTTGATCAGTCGTATTATGTTGAGAAAATTTTAAAGAAATATAATTTTCGAGACTGTAAACATGTTGTTACTTCTTTTGATGCAAGCATACATTTATCTGTTGTAACAAATGAAAAAAAAAAAAGATTAATCAAAAGGAATATGCTAGCATGATTGGTAGTTTGAGATATGCTACTAACTATACTAGACCTGACATTGCATATGCTGTTGGAGTATTTAGCAGGTTTATTAGCAAGCCAAGTCGAGATCATTAGCCAGCCACGCGAAGAATTATGAGATATTTATCTAGTACCAAAAATTATGGTCTGTTTTATAACAAGTATCCTGTGGTACTTGAGGGATATAGTGATGCCGATTGAAACACTTTGTTAGGTGATTCTCTCTTTACGTCAGGTTTTATTTTTACCTTGGGTGGTGGTGCTATATGTTGGAAGTCTAAAAAACAGACTATAACTACTAATTCTACAATGGAAGTTGGGCTTATAGTGTTAGCTTTAGCATGTGAGGAAGCGAATTGGTTGGGAGATTTGTTATATGAAAGCCCTTTTTGAGAAAAACCAATTCCTCCTGTGTTAATTTGTTGTGATAACACTACTGCTATTGGTAGAATGAACAATCATTTTTATAATGGTAAATCCAAACCTATTTGAAGGAAACACAGTAATGTGAGATTCTATTTGAGTAATGGCATCATAATTGTGAATTATGTAAAATCTTGTGATAATCTTGTGGATTCGTTAACCAAGGCCTTGGCAAGATATAGGGTCTGGAATACATTGAGAGGGATGGGTTTGAAGCCTATAAAATCATAAACTATGTATGAGGATATCCAACTTGAGGACCAGAGATCTTGTAACTAGATTCAATGGGAAGAACGAATCATATGGTGGTTGTAAAAAATGTCCTCCTTAATATTTTTTTGTCCATCCCTATGATGTAAGTACATTTGTCCTGTAATGTTGGAGGGTTGAGTTTTTATATTCTTAATGAAATTATGTAGCTCTTGTTAAGTGGGGTGTGTAAATTACAGGAACATCCTTGATAGATTTCACCTATGTGAGCATGGAAGTGGGGCCACTTTCTATGAGAATAAGGCTTATTCTCAAATATACTCATGAAAACTGGGATTGGCACAAGGCCGTAATGTGCTAGCTATTAAAAACTCATGTCAACACCTGAATTATTACGTGTAAGCAGTAATACTTTATTTTCCCTAAGTAGTCATAATTCAAGTCTGAGACCACTACTGACTCTGGAGTAGAAGTTGTTGTTTCACTAATGAAGGTTCAAGCAGAGCACACCTTCAGGATGCATACTAATCTATCTTTGTTTGGTAATCTCTCTTGTCCTTGTTGATATTAAAATAAGTGAGGGATTGTTGGACCATTTTAATATCTTTTATTTATTTATATTTTTTAATTTGACTTTTTGTGTTGTTCATGAATCTTATTTTGCTTGGTGAATAGAGATTCATTGTTTTTTGGTGACCTTTTGTTTTGTTCCTGAATGGAGATTAATTGGAAGTTCATGAACTTGGTGGTGAGCTAATATTTGGAGACTCTTTTTTTTCTCTAATTTAATGGCCATTATTATTTGTTTGTGTATATTGTAAGGTCCTAGTAACCTGTAAATAGTTCCTTTCATCTACTCTTTTCTATACAAACTATTTTTTATACTTGAGAAATTACTAGCCAAAGAAGGGTGTTTTTTTTTTTGTGAAGCTTTGGGTTTACCATTTTATGCAGAGTTGGCCTGAACCATACGACAAGTAGTTGGACTGTTATATCCTGGAGGGGACAAGTCATAGTTTTGTAACTGTTGCATTGGTATTTAAGTTCTTTCTACCGCAGTGTGGACTTGATCTCTTTTAAAAAAATGAGATATCGGTGTATCAACCTGATCTATTTATATCTCATTTTCTTTGTATTATTTATCAATAAAATATAATTTTTTTAATATTTTTACTAACAATCGTGGAGCGATCAGTCACTCTTTCAAGTGCGATCGATCGCAGCTGCAATTTTTGCTAAATCTAATTTTGTTTCTTTTTTTATACTATTTTTTCTATTAAAAGACTTTTTAAACTTGTTTTTCAGTATCTCAACTATTGAGCTTCATTTCAGTAAAAAAAAAAAAAAAAAACTTGGTTAGAATTTTCTAAAAACTCTTTTCAGAAAATTCTATTTTTTTATTTTTTGTATTTTTTTTATTTTTACTGAATTTTTTAATAATTTAAGCATTTTTTATTTTTTATTTTTTAGACATACCTAACATAAATATACCTAAAAAATAAAAAATTTGTGAAAGAAACTTTTTAAAAAATCACTAAATACCAAAAATATAAAAAAAATATGAGAATTCAATACATTTTTTGTATTTTTATGTATTTATTAATTTTAAAAATATTTTTTCACATTTTTTTAATTTTTAGATACATCTAAATAAGGTACATCTAAAAAAATTAAAAAAAATATTTAAAATTTTAAAATATTCACTAAAAACAAAAAAATACGAAAATTAAAAAAATTAATTTTTAAAAACTAACCCAAAAAATTCAAATCAAACACACTGATTACCACCGGGGGTGGTGGCCCAGTGAAGAAAGCAACTCGTCTCCACAGGCTGGACCCAGGGTCGAATCCTAGGAGAGTGTGGAAGTGTTCTCTTTGAGACCCCTTTTTGTATTCCGGTTCGAACCTTCGGCGGTCTGTGACGTATAGTTGAGCTCCAGTGGTACCCCGGTGGTGGGTCCCTCACATGGTGGGAGTTAATTCCTGGCTGGCAACCGATTATCCCGGGGTCAGGGCCCACGCGACCGTTTGAGTTTCAAAAACCCCCAAACTTTACATCATTACATTGTTCAATTTACACTCAAGGCCGATTGGATAATCGGAGCCGCTTGTGAACATAGATCGAAATTAAAGCTTTTTAGTGTCCTGAAGATCAAGAATCCTTTACAAGTCATCGTGTTAAGTAAATCTGGGTAAAATTTGTAAGTCCTCTTCACTTTGTTTTGTATTCTTAGATCTTTTAGTGAATTTCATTGAGTGCTTTGGAATTCTTAATTGGATACCCATTTTGATTGTGGCTGAAAGTTCACTAAAAACTTTTGTATAAACCATTTTTCTAACATTGATATATACGACCAGAGATTATATATAATAAACCAATGAGGATCAAAATCGTTGTGAAATTGATGACTACTTATTATATATAATATAATCCGTCAATACTGACAAATTCCCAGTTTTCATTTGGAGAGCAGAACAAAGACCAGCCATCTTGCACTTTACGTTGCAAATATGCCCTTTTTTTTTTTTTTTTTTTTTTTTTATCTTTTTGTTTTATTTAAAATTTGGATGCCAATTTATTTAATTAACTTGTCAATATATCAATTGCCAAATCCTTACATGTCTAATTCTAGAATTAAGTTGGATAATTAGGGCCTTTGGCTTAAGGATTGGCAATTGATATTTGGACAAGTTAATTAAATAAATTGGCGTCCAATTTAATATTTGTGTAATAATACTACTTTATGGTGTGAGATTGATGGTTTAACTTCTATGAAAAGAAATTTAGGTAGCGTTTAGTTAAGTTTTAGAATTATAATTTGAGTGTAGAATTGTATTTTGAATTTGTGAGTTTTTGAATTATGATTTGAAAAGAAAAAATTTGTTTGGTTATGAGTTTTGAAAAGAGTTTTCAAAAGAATTTTGAAACAAGAAAAATTGTTTGGTTATGAGTTTTGAAAAGAGTTTTCAAAACTTAATTGAAAAACTTATATATAACTCATAACCAAACACAAAACTCAAAACTTTATTGAAAATTATATTCAAAACTCATAACCAAACTCTTTTTGAAATTTAATTCAAAAAAATAATTATTGAAAAAAATAATTTTTTTAAAAAAATTTTAAAAATTCCAAAAACATTTTTTTATTTAAAATATTAAAAAAATATTCAACTAGTGTTTTAAAATTACTTTTGATTGTATATTTGGTTCGAAGTTTTTTTTAATTGTTTTGTTTGAAAACAATCTAATTTTTTTTTTGTTGTATATTTAACAAATAACAAAAACAAATATAAATTTTTTGCTTTCAAATAATTGGTTGTAATTGCAACCAAAAACAAAAAAAAAAAAAAACTGTTTCAGTCAACCGGCTGGACATCCGGGCAAACGACCCAATTTGCAAATTCAAAATTCAAAAAAACATGCATTGGAATGTGTATTCAAATGTGGCATTGGAATTGATTTTTGAAAACTAAAACTAAGCATAGCATTCAAATGTAAGAGTGAAAAATTGATTAAAAACTCACACCAAACACAGCCTTAATATTTGTGGGGTATATATTTTTTCTCCCATTATCAGTTGTTTTGTAGTTGCTTATTTATTGTCTTCTCAAGTTTGGACTAATAAATAAAGTTAGATAAGGTTAAGTCCATGTTTGTTTAGGAGTTTGAGGAGGAGAGTTCGATTGCTAATTCGTGGAGTTAAAAAAAAAAAAAAAAAAATTATTTTGAAAAATTATCAAGTAATAAAGAATCCATATCCTATTTATTTCAAGAAATAGCAATCTCCATTTTATAGTTAATGATTGTGAATGTGTCACATCAATAAATCATAAATTTTATTTTAAATTAAAAAATCAAGAAAGTTAATTAAAATGGCATAACAATATATAAAGAATTTTGAATTTTGAATTTTGAATTTTGAATTTTGAATTTTGAATTTTGATGAAGTATTGCAATTTTAAGTTTTAAAAGTGAAATTTTTATTTCTCATAAACAATCACAATCACTGATTGACATAGACAATTTTGTTTTGTTTCGTTGGTATAATGATGTTGAGATATAAGTTAAATATGTACTACCCTAATTGAAATTATATATATGTATGTGTGTGTTTGTTTGTAAAACTTCTAACACCTATCTTAAGAGATACCTCTAGGGCCGGCAAGAGAGAGAAATGGAGGTGGTGGCGAATGTGGTGATAGTAGGAGCAGGAATAGCAGGGTTGGCAACGGCGGTGGCATTGAAGAGAGTGGGATTGAAGCATTAGTTTTAGAGAGATCGGAAGGGCTGAGAACCACCGGTGCAGCCTTAACCCTTTTCCCAAATGCTTGGCTTGCACTTGATGCTCTTGGTATTGCTCAAAAGCTCAGTTCCATCTATAATCCCTTCAACAAGTAACTATTACTTTCGTATCCTTCATTTTTCTTTACAAATAACTTCTTCCTTTTCTACTTACCCGAAAAATCTTCTTCCTTTTCTTTCCTTGGTAATGATAATTTCCATGTTTGGATTTTGTTTTGCTTGCATGAATTCTAAGCACTGCCCAGTGCCCCTACATTTAGTACAAGTATTCTATGGTAGTGTCATTTTTCCTCATAAGTACAATGAAAAGCTTGGCATTAGAGAGAGAGAGAGAGAGATTTACATGGTGTTTCTTCTCAAGTATTCTATTATTGTCCATGTTGTTGTTTTATTTGTTTATTTTTTTGAGTGGTGTAGAGCATGCATAACCAATGTTGCCAATGGAGCTTTTCAAGAAGTCCCTATGGTTGGAGCTGACAGGTTAGCTCACGAACTATCACCCAATGACAATTGTGTTCCTTGACATTGTATTTAGATTATAAATTTAAATAAAAATTTGAAAAAAGAAATTATTTATATTACATTCACATTTAACTCACATTTTCTCTTTCTTTCCATTTTTATTTTTCTTTTCAAGTCTCCACTCAAATTTCATCATCCAAACAACCACAAACCGATCACATACCATCTCAGCTACCTTGTCCATTATCTATGCTTTGTCTAGCAATATAATCAGTTAATTCATGGATTACTTGTGTACTGGAGTGAAAAAATATCAAACTCTTAAAAATTACCAGTTTGACACTCGGGTTCAAGTTCCCAAAGCTCTTTCTTTTAATCCATTTCCTTCAATCCCTTTCCCAGTGTATATACATATAAAATAAAATAAAAAAAGCTATTATTAAAAAAATAATTATTTCTTTCTCTTGTACTTTCTCACCCAATTTGATTCAACACAAATTATATATAAGCTCCTAAAATAATTAATGGTATTTGATTTGGGCATGATATAGGGGAGAAGCAGGAACTAGAGCTGTACATCGAAAAGCCTTACTAGAAGCCCTTGCAGAGGAACTATCAACTGATACAATTCGTTTCAATTCAAAGCTAACTTCCATTGAAGCCCAAAACCAAGAAGACCCTTCCATTGTTGTGGTTCGCTTGCAAGATGGAACTGAAATCAAAACCAAGGTAACAAAAAACAAGTGTAAATTATATGGACCTCTCCGTACACAATTGACATAATTACACTTAACCTCGTTAATATGACATATAATTAACAAAAATGTTAGGGATACAAACAATCTTATTAACACACTCACAAGTTGATATGAATCCCATACCAAGTGATGGTTAATCTTATCAAAACTTGCGAGTGTGTTAGTAAAATTGTTAGTAAATGTGTAAGTATCTCTAACATCGTTATATAATTAAACAGTCTCCCATTAGCATGATGAACACATTACCTTTCTCTCTTCCCCTTTACTTTTTTTCACTTTTTTTTTTTTTTTTTTTTTTTTTTTTTTTTTTTTGTCCTTCATCTTAATTAATCTTCACTAGGGCTGTTCATTATTTTATTTTTTATTTAATTATATTTTAAATCAATCCTTAATTATATTTTATATTTTAAATTAATCATTAACAATATTTTATTTTATTTTATTTTATTTTTATTAACATATTAATTTATTTTTAGCTTTGGAGAAAATTAGGGTAAAATTATATTTTTATTGTGTTAATTTCACTTTATTTTCTAGAATATCAAACCTATCCTAAAAAATGGAGTGTGTGACACTCCTTCTATTAATTTGGATGAAAATATTAATAGTAGCACTTTAGTTTAAAATCACATAATGACTTTCTAATTCCATTTAAATCATAAAGAGTAAAGTATTTCAAACTCGAACGGCTAAGGACAAAATAAATTTAACCTATAGAATAAACCTGCCCTAATTACACTTAACGTAGGAGTCATAAACCTCCTCAAAGAGCTGGTTATACCAACTTTTAGGAGTCACACTTCCAACAGGATTCATCCTCTGACCTAATATCTCAACTAGGATATAGTCTGATACCTCAGCCAATACAATTTTGCCATGTGGCATAACCTCTGGTTCAATCTTAAGAGAAATTATTGGCTCCATTTGGGCAAGATTTTTTTGGGTTAAAATAGCACTAAAGGATAAAATAGGCTAAAATAATGAATAAAATAAAATAAAATATTATATTAAATTCATATTCATTTCATATTTTTTCTTACAAACATTACATTCAATTACAAAAAAATTCAATTCCCTTCCCAAACACAATTAAAATAGCCTACTACAATAACCAACTTCCTAAATACAATTATAATTTATGCTTTTAATCGTTTTAATTGATTATTTGTTTGTTTGTTTGTTTGTTGGGGTTTATAGGTGTTGATAGGTTGTGACGGGGTGAACTCGGTGGTGGCTCGTTGGTTAGGACTTGGGGCGGCAGTGGATTCGGGTCGGTCAGCAGTTCGTGGGTTAGCAGTGTACCCGCAAGGCCATGGGTTTAAGCATGACATGCAGCAGTTTATAGATGTGGGCAAAAGGGGTGCTTTTCTTCCTCTCAATGATAAAGAACTTTACTGGTTCTTCATTTCCAAATCCACTAACAAAGGTTAGCTTTGTCCTCTTTCAATGGTCAAGAATTTATTTATTTATTTTTTCAATTGATAAGAGAATAATTAGAAATATAAAAAAATATGACAACATTAATACTAAAAGGTATCAAACTTTTCTCTTTCATAAAAATTGAACTTAAGATCTCAAACGTGTCATACTCACATTAATCAGAAAGACAAATGGTCCAACTTCAATGATTAAGTTAAAAGACATGTTAAAATAACTAAACCTTGTAAAAAATCTTACTTAATGGTGAGTCAAAAATACTGTCAAAAAATGATAAACTTTATATTAAATTTGGTTTAAAATTTGACAAAATCATTTTTTTGTCACATTTTTTGTTAAAAACCCAACTGTTTTTTTCTTATCACAATTCACAACCTCCACAAACCAAAACCAAAGCTTACAATTAAAAATAAAAAATAAAAAAAAATTTACAATTACAAAAGCTTAACAAATAATATCCTTTGAAAATAAATTTACAATTAATATTCTAAGAAAAACATTATAGTGATCCCAGGCTTACCCTTGTTGTACAGTGATCCGGACATGTGTCCGTGGATGTTGGTAGTTGTTTATTTTCTAGTTTGCATCCTCTTTACTTTGTATATTGAGTTATAAGATGCGTTGGGCAGGTTTGTTACAGGTTGGTTGCGTTTGGGAGCCTAGTGTTGCTGCCCAGATTTTTGGTCCTTCGCTCGAGCGAGGAGTTTGTCGCTCGAGCGAGAGTTGTGTTGCACCGGTTCTGGACCTGAGAGCTGTCTTTCTTGGCTCGAGCGAGCTTTTCGTGGCTCGAGCGGTCTGGGTTTTTCTTCGCTCGATCGAGAACTTCTTGGCTCGAGCGAGAGTTTTCTGTGTCTGGTCGCTCGAGCGACCAATCCTTCGCTCGAGCGAGCGTGTTTTATATCAGCGGACAGCAGCGTCTAAAACATCACTTTTTCAGTCCTTTTCTTTGATTAAACCCTAAATCCGACACCCTCTCTCTCTAAACTTGCACTCTCTCTAAGATTTGATCTCCCTAAGGTGAGAATCTAGCCTAGGGCCTTTGTTAAAAAGATAGAGGGCGTTGAGAGCTTCGATTTAATCTGAAAAAGTTTGGATTTGGAGCAAGTTGATCTTGGAGTCTTCATCTCCTTTGTGGCTTAAACTTCGAGGTAGGGATAACCTACTCCTCTCTATGGGGTTTGTCTTTAAATTTTGGTATTTTGAGATGTTGGGCTTGGTTTGGTAATTTTGTGAAAGTTTGGGTAGCGCGATAAAATGCATGCAAAATGCAAGTAATGTGCACAAAACAGCGCGATGAGGTGCGGTACATATCGCGACAAAATGCATGCAAAATAAAGGTATTGTGCACAATACAGTGCGATGAGGTGCGCAAGATATCGTGACAAAATGCATGCAAAATGCAAGTAATGTGCATAAAACAGTGCAATGAGGTGCGCAAGATAGCCCGATAAAATGCGTGCAAAATGTAAGTAATGTGCACAAAACAGGGCAATGAGGTGCGCAAGATAGCCCGATAAAATGCAAGCAAAATGCAAGTAGTGTGCACAAAACTGCGCAATGAGGTGCGCAAGATAGC